TTATGGACTGTTAAGACATCCTACCTGGTCAAAAACTTTAGAAACGTCTACAGCCTTGGACCTAAAATCTCAAGGAAACGGTTTGAACAGATTTTGTCTTTTCAATACAGTACATTATTATATAATCTAAGTCTTTCAAGTACAGTACATTACTGTCTATTCTGAGTCACTTAGACATTAAAAAAAAATTCTAGCATCAACGTTAATAAAGCAAAGACCAGGTAAAAAAACATTTCAACTTAGAATAAAATCATTAATGACCATTTTACTTGTTTAGGGCTATACCCGGCATGGTACTGTCCGGAGGAGAATGCGACCAGCAGTGCTAAGAAACCATGTGGTGCCAGGGGCGGAACTGGGCATCCCCCATACAAAGCACGCACTTTGACCCACACACAGACTATCTCAACACCTACCCTTCACCCCAGCTCCAGAAAGTACATAGTACAGTGCTTGCCTTGAATCCTGTGGACAAGGGTTCAAATCCTTGCCATCAATATGGTGTCCAGAGTGTAGAAACCAGGAATAACCACTGAGCACAGCCAGATGTGAACTAAAACTTTATCCCATCAAAAACCATGCCTCTAAAGTTCAGAGTACACTAGACTTACAACACATCTAAATTCAGATACTAATGGAAGGGCTACAACTGCTTTACACAGGGCACTACTGGCTCTATGTTCAGTGGATATTTGCAGAACGGGAATTAAACCAAAATTCACTGAGTATGGTACCTCCCAGGGAATTTTCCTTAGAAATGTGTTCTGAATCCGTATTTCACAAATTGTTATAAACATACTTATGTACCCTTGAGCAATGGATGTAAGCTCAGTTTTATGAGCACATGCCTTTTATATATGAGAGCCTTGGGTTCAATTCTCATCTTCAAAATAAAGGGGGAAAGGACATCCAAGTAACTTTTAGGATTACTCTTTAAATTAAAACCTTACTTCTCAAATTAATTTGAATTTAAAATTCAATTACTCAGTTCTAAAGACATTTGTCAATTGCCCAGAACCCAATTGCTCATCAGTACCATTACTGGACAGAGAAGAACATTTTGCAAGTTAGGCACTAAAATGAATGCAAATAAAACGGATCAAGAACACATTTTTGTGTGTATGACAGCGCAATTTTATAACTCTGTGATTATAAAGTCTTATAAATACACACTATTATTTCACAATGGAAAGAGTTATCAGTTACTAGTATTATAATGGATTGTTTTAGGTTTGCTTTAAAAAGATTGAATAATTAAGTGTACCTTTAGGTGGCAGAAAGTTAGAAGTCAGCATTCATATATGAAAAATGAATCAGAAGTAAAAAGGATTAGAGCATGTAGAAAAGTGAAATTAATAGTCTGATTCAGCAAAATTACTGACTTTTGAAAGACAATGGTTTACGCTGGTGACCTTTAAAAATCTTTAGCAAGGGGCTAGAGCAATCGCACAGTGGGTAGGGCATTTGCCTTGCATGCGGCTGACCCAGGTTCGATTCCCAGCATCCCATATGGTCCCCTGAGCACTGACAGGGGTAATTCCTGAGTGCAGAGCCAGGAGTAAAGCATCACTGGGTGTGACCGAAGACGCAAAAAAAAAAAAAAAAAAAAAACTTTGGCTCCATAACATCAATCCATGTATCTGTGTTGGTTATCAATACAGTGTAATTTTACTTACAGACAGTTGCTAACACCTTTATACAAAACACATTTTAATATACTTTACTTCCTATTTTTCATCTACATTACTGTGACTTAATATTATTAAGTAGGTAGATTATGTTTAATATGAATTCATCCCAAAACAGCAAGGAAACATTACAAAAGTGTTTGTTAAAAAAAATCTAGTAATTCAATCAATAACTTCAATTATTGTCTACAGAGGAGAATGAATTGTAGTTCTGAGCAAAAGTTCCTAAACTTCTTTAGCTTTGGTATTTGTTTTCTGATAAAATAGCACTCAATTCTTGAAGAAAAAAAAAAGAAGCAAAAATAGATGTATTCACCCATACAGTCAACACCATGGCAAAGATAGAGCACTTCAAAAAGTTCCAATATGCTCACACAGTCCAGGAGCTATCAGAGGTGTAAATCCTTACTCTGAATTCTCAACATACATTCATTATTGATGGCAAATCTTTAATTTCAACACATCAATCAGTAAGTAGTAAGCCAGACAATTCATGCTTTATTTATATAATTATTCACCTTTTCATTTTTATTTACATGCATTCACAACTTGTTAATGACATTAGGACTAATTTATACCTCTTTACAACTGAAAGGTAAATGCAATTCAGCTTTACTTTCCATTATATCAACTAATTACACAGTCATTTCAGCGCTGGTTGTTGTAGTGGTTTTAATCATTGCTACACCTACAGATCAGCCAAAAGTGCCCTGACTTTGTTAACCTCTATAACAAACCAAGTACCATTCAATCTTTACTGATGGTTGAAAACCACACTTGCATACTTTCTTGCTTGGAGTATTAGTCAGCTTACCATCACCCACAAATTCCATTTATAACATGCCTGGTTCATAAAATAAGCAGTCTCAAGTACAAAGGAGTATCTCACAATATGCTTCAAATTTCTAGACCATGCACATAAATATGTGTAATAATAAAAAGTAAAAATTTGTTATGGAGAAAAGGAGAGTACTTGCCAATACAATGGATAGCCCCATTACTACTAGTATTATCTGGGAGTTTGTTCTTTTGGGAAGTTAATAGACTATGTTCACAAAATCTTCTGAAAAGCTTACAATTAGCACAACTCTAAATTCCCAGTTCTAAGAAGTGATAGGAAGTAAGCTTGGACTCATTTTGAGCACAGTTGCTGGCAAAGGCACAGACTTAATAATTTTAAATTGACTCTAAATTTAGCCAGCTACTCATTTCTAAGGATTTGCCTCCATCTTACACGTAAAATACTGTCTCATGAGTACAATTGTTAAAGTAGACTAAGAATAACACTATTTGATCTCCTTTTTCTCTTTTGCTTTTGGGGTCACACCTGGTGGAGTGGTTACTATGGCACCATAAGGGATGACAAGGATGGAACCCTGGTCAGCCCTGCACAAGGCCAGAACCTTATCCACTGCACTATCTCCTCTGTCCCTGTTTGACCTCGTTTTTATTGCCAAGTTTGTATCTAAACATTCTGAGCAATTTCTTCGAGGTCCTTCATTATAAATGCATACTGTTTCAGTACCCGGAACTCTTAAGTCACGTTTTATTACTTTAACAGAACAAGACAAATAGTACACTGAATGCAATATAAGTGCAAACTAGTTAGAGGATCCTAATCAGGAATAGCAGTGAAAGAAAGCAAGTTTTTTATGGGGGGGTGACCACACACACACCCGGAGGTGGTCAGGGCTTAGTCCTGGTGAGCACCTAGCACAATCTGAGTAGCCTGGGATCAATCCAATCCACAACATGCAAGGCAAGCACCTTATCCGCTGTACTATCACTTCTGCAAAACAAGGATTTGTTTTGTTTTGGGGGTCACACCAAGACATGCTTAGGGGTTACTTCTGGAGTCATTCCTGACAGTGCTTGGGGGACAACTTGTTATACCGAAGAACGCAGTGAAAGAAAAGTCAAATTACAGTAGATCATATATAGAATAACCAAAGTTCCTAAATTAGGATTAAGCTCAAGTACTTTGCACAATCTTCAAATTAGTATCCTGATGAGAATTTTTTAGAACGCAATGCGAATTACAGCAGGTACTGTAAAAAAATGTTTTCTTGACAGCTGAACTTTGAAGCACAGACTTAAACGTTGGAATGAATCTCCCAACACTGAAAGCAAACCCCTGGATGGACTCAATCATGTTAAGAATAAGGATTAGACCTAAGGCCAAGTGAAACTTGGGGATGTTCCATTACTTAAACCGCGCACACGCGCGCGCACACGAATCATTATTTAGACCTTTTTATTAGGCCTTTTAGTTAGACCTATTTTTCAGTAGGAGACTCTTTCAAAGACGAAAACTGCATTTCCTCGACAGGGCTGCTCTGTGGCTTTAAACGTTTCACGATCTCAACACGGTTAAATTCTCTAACTGATTTGCTAGAGACGTGCTAAAAAAAAAAAAAATAATGAAGCACCAGGTCTTTGAAAAACGCTTTTGGGAACTGATAAAGACTGCATTTCTCCGAAAGTCTTCATGTTAGTTAGGCAGCTGATTTCAAAGTAACACCTCTTGATCGAAAAGTTATCTTAATACACCGCAAAACAGAGAAAAAGAAAAAGGTGACATCATTTTCGGTGAAAACGGTGGCACTAAAAAAAAAAAAAAACCCTCCCCATTTTTAATCCAGGAGGGGAAATCGAGCTGCTGACCTGAACGTGAACTCTGCCCCGGAGAGCTCGCGGGGAACCCCAGCCCGGCTCGGGGCGCGGGGCGCGGGGCCGGGGGGCGCTCCGGGGGCAGGAGCTCCACCTACCGACCGGCGACACTTCCTGAAACATCTGGCACCCCGAGCGAGCGCTCCGGCCCTCCCGCCCGCTCCCCTCCTCCCGCCGCTCTGACCCAACCCAAAACCCGGTTGAGTCACTCGCCCTCGAGAACTCAGCTCCGCGCCCGCGCTTCCAAGTCCTCCGGCCTCCAGAAGGTTCGGCCGAGCGGCCCGGGCGGCAGAGGCGGCGGTCGAGCGGCGTCCGAGCGCCCGGCGGAGCCCCCGCAGCCCCCGCCCCCGGGCTGGCGGGCCGGGGGCTGCTTCCGCCCGCGCCGCGCCTCGCCTCGCCTGCGCTCCCCGCCCCCCCGCCGTGCTCCGGGCCCAAACCCCGAGTCCTCCTCCTCCTCCCGCCGCCCCCCGCCTCTTGCCTCGGCCGTCCCGTCATCCCGCCAAACGGCGCGAGTCGCGCCTCCGCCCCCCCCAACCCGCCGCCCCGGGCGCTGAGGGAACCGAAGCGCCGAGATTTCCCCCCGCCCCCGACTCCCGCCCGCCCGCCCGCCCGCCCTTCGCGCCCGCCGCTGCCCTTCCTCACCCTTTCATCTTCCCTGCCCGCCGAGGCCGTTGTTCCCGCCGCTCTCAACGCCGCCGCCGCCGCCGCCCTGAGCTCTCGGCGCCCTGGGCTCGGGCCACGCCAACCCCACCAGCCGGCCTCCTCGCCTCGGGCTGGGCGCCGAGCGGGTGACGGAGGCCGCGAGAGCCGAGCGCGGCCCTGCGCCTTCCTTCCGAGGGGGCGGGGGTGTCGCCCGCCCGCCGCCGCGCCACCACACGTGCACACGGGGCACTCGGCTCCCGCCCGCCCGCCGCCGCCGCCGCCGCCAGCCGGACTCGCCGCCGCGCTCTGACCTTTAACCCCGCCCCCTCCGTGCGCCGGCGCGGCGGCCGCCCTCTGCGCAGCCGCACTGCCGCCCTCGGCGCCCGCCGCTGCCCCCGCCCCCTCCGCCGAGCCCTCCGGCTTCCTACTGGGTCGCTCCCAGCGGCGTCATCTTTCCCCGCCCCTCCCTTACGACACCGCCCCCCCCCCACCCCGTGGGACTAAGCCCGTCGGCCCGGGCGGCAGAAGCCGGATTTTTCCACTCCCTCTGCAGCCCCGCTTTATCAAGCTCAAGCTCCCCAGGCCCTGCATTTGCCTGGGCAACTGTGACCGGAATGACCTTCAGCTGTTCCTCCCTCCTAGTAGGATTTCATAAGGACGGCTTCTAAATGCAAAATTTATTTAAAAAAAAAAAAAAAGGATGGGGTCCTCAAATGCGGCGCTTCCATGACATAAATGTAAGGAAGAGGTGGCCGAAGAACTTGGCATCCGTCCAGCACGTCTCCAGTCTTTGGGGTCACGTGACCGTCCCGGCCACCATTCTCCCCCCCCCCCCATTTAAACCTGAGGGCTTTCACCGGCGGGGGCCCCCGCCCCCAGGGACCAACCCCATCGCCATTTCCGGTCTCTGGTCGAGCAGCTGACGTCACTTCCTTACGCACTTTAACCCCTTCCGCCCACCCCTCCTACATTGCATTTTACCGCGCGAGCCTGGGGATTCGTGATTTTTCGGAAGACCTAATCGCGAAAAAAATTCATCATCTTTTAACAGTTGGTTAGAAAAAAAAAAAGAAAGAAAAAGAGACCCACCAGCCAGAAAAGCCCATCGCCCTTCCGGGAGCCGGAGCGCGCCGGGCCGGGCCGTCGGGGCGGGGCTCGCGGTCACGTGGCCGCCGGGCCCGCCCCGCGCTGCAGCTGGAGCTCGTCCCCTCCCACAGTGACAGAGCCTCTGGGTCGGCGGTCGGCGCAGTTTCTGCACCTCGCGCCTCGGCAGGTGAGCGACGGCCGGTTAACCGGCCGCTGGTTGGGCTGGGAGAAGGGGTGGAGGGAGGGGGAGAAGGAGAGGAAGTGTGAGCGGCGGCTTCCGCCGTCCCGGGTCCCCGCTGTCATGTTGCCCCCCACCCTTCGGGAGCTCAGTTCTCCGGTTTTCCTGACCCGCCTTTAAGCCATTCAGGTCGCCCCCGCCGCCGAGGGATGAAGAAGCGACCTTGCCCACCTGTCCCGAGATTGGGGACTGGGGGGGACGGGGTGGGGGGGCGCGGGGCTGGTCAGTGCGGCCATTACGGCTCTCTCTCCCGGGTCCTCCGGGCTCCGGGGAGTGGGATGGCTTCAGCCCCTCCTCGGGCGCTGCAGTGCCTTCGAGGTGCCCCGAGCTCGTGCGGTGCGGTGGCCGAGGCCCTGCGCCGTCTACCTTCAGATTCCGGCCCGGGAGCCCTAGGGAAAAAACCCTCGAGGCAGAAAGGCGGCTCCTGCGAGACTGGCTGGGGAGGGAATGTCACTGCTCGGCCCTCGCTGCTGCGGAGTCATTGCTGAAGCTTGCTTTTGCGAAAGTGCCTTCTTCAGTCTTTCCGACTCTTCACTGCACGGCCCTGCGGATGGCGTTCAGAGGCGCTGACTGCGACTGCATGGCTAGTCGCAGGCCTTGTCCGCTCTCTGGTGTGATGGTGCAGGAAGGGAATGATGGGCAGCTTCAAGAGATCGTGGTTTCCAAACAGGAGGTGTTAGTAACGCGACAGGCGAACGGGGGAGGCGTCGGGAGACGGTATCGCACGATGGGGATCTGCGGGAGGTGACCCACAGTTGTTTAGGGGAAAGTGACTTGGTGGCCCTGCAAGGGATGTGATGGTGTTCTTTTTTTTTTCCCAGAAACGAAATGGACTGGAAATAGAATTAGCACAGATATATTTGACCATAAATCTGAAGGTGGTCAGGAAGTCAATCCGGGCGATTGGCTGCTGACATTATTTCATTTTTTACCACTCCCAATCGATTCCTTCTCCAGGGGCGAATTTGTATTAAATTGCACTTGTAGCATCCCGGGCTTTCCCCACTTGTAAAAGTTCAGATTTTGAATGACAGTATTTTGAGGAAATACAGAAATCATTTTGTTTAGGTTTTTGACCAACTCAGTGTTCTCTCCTTTTATTTGTAATGCAGCAGTGACTGTGTTGACCCCAAACAATGTGCTCTGAGGAGGAATGTTTTTCAGTTTGGGGTTAAACATCTTTATTTATGCTGCAAACTCCAAGTTTCCTTCCTTCTTTAAAGCTGAAAAAACTTACAGAAATTAGACATTTGATTTTTAAACTATAAATTATGCTTTTTTTTCTCTAATTTGAGAAATATTCTCAGTTAAACCTTATACTTTCCTAACCAATGATTTTAAAAAATATTTTAAAAGGAAAAAACAGTCGTAAAATAAGAAAGATGGATGTCTTAGGTAGATGTAACTAATTTTTTTCCCCTGCATCTTCCACATCTTCAGTAAACTGATTTTCTTTGATTAAGAGGAACAAAAGGTTAAAAATCTTAGAATGGCAATTTAACCAAATATTTTTATGCCAAGTACAGAATTGAAACACTAGCCTATTGAAATATTAACACTCCTTGCAAGAAAAAAAAAATCCTTAAAGATCTTTCTTTTCTTAACTAATTAGGCAATAAACTATCACAGATTTATAATTTTGCATTTGCATATGACCCTACTGGACAATAGCGATAATATATTAATTTATGTGACTTGCTATCTATATAAATATAATTTTTATTCATTGATTTTCTTGAGTGAGGTTCCTTGATCTCTAGAGGAAGGAAAATACAAGCATGGTTCCTTTACTATGCAGGTAACATTCCACCAGATACTAAGGTGACATTCTTTAAGGGCCCTGAAGTCCAAACCAGTTCTGTCTGGGTGGAACCAAAATAGGAAAGAGAAAGCCAGCTAAAAAGCCTTGCAAATTGGAGGGGGAAATGCCAATAAGAAAAAGGTCGAATGAGTCTGCAGTTTTACTTCACAGTTCTCCCAGTTTTAGGGAACTTATGAAAATGATAAAAGTTTTGATGAAATCTGGGAGATTAGCAGCAGGAATTGGTGGCTAGATTGCTACTAAAGATGAATTGAAAGAGCTTTGATATTATACCGAATTCATGCATGCACACACGTGATGGTTGGAAGCTGTTTCTGAGACAGCTATCAGTTTCTGCACGTAATCTCAATATTCTTAGTGAATTGTGCTTTAGTCCAACATTAAACAGTACCTGGGCTCCGAAAAATCTGTACTTGACTACGTTATAGATTATAGGTTATTCCCTACCATCCTTTCCTATGGGCAGAGCTAGCCACTCAATCCTAACACTAAACATTACTATGTATTTTTACTTCTAGTATGTTATTTTAAATTACTATTTGCTATATTGGTTCTCTGTGAACCATAAAACTAGAAATTCAAGGACAGTGTTTCTTCAGTTGTGTCGTCAGTATCAGGATGCCAGTGCACATGATAGAGACTCAGTAAATTGTTAAATGAGTGTTTGACATTTGGACAAGATTTAAACTGCTGTTTGAGTTCTTGTAGATCACAGCTCTTTGTAAGGTTGTGCACTGCATATTAGCTCTCAAACCTAAATTAGTAATATAACCATCCAGATCAGGTGCACAGAACAGACATAAATCTTAGGTGACTTTTTATATGCAGTGGCCAATTCATTTTCACAATATGTAAGTTTACTTACAAGTACGATTACATTCAAGTATTGAATGGAAAGGAAGGAAAGAGTGAACTGTACTTAATGAAATCAAAAGTGGCTGTATAAAATCCACAAGGGGGTTGGAGAACTAGTACATTGGGTGGGGTGCTTGCCTTGCGTGCGCAGAACCACGTTTGATCCCTGGCATCCCACATGGTCCCCTGAACTCAGGAGTGATTCCTGAGCACAGTGAGAAGTAACCCCTATACATCGCTGGATGTGGCCCAAAAACTAAATAACTAAAATCCACAAGTGATATAGCACTAGTCAGAAAAATCAGGATTATCATCATTCAGCTCTGACCAAATTATATCGTTACATAATTTTTAAGTTGGGGGTGGGAACCTTCTCTCTAGAGTCTTGCACTTAAAGTAAGAAAACTCCTGTCCATTTAGTATTTTTAATGCCAATGACTAGAAGTCCAGAAGATGGCTCAATAACTTGAAAGAAAAATTTGAGGAGGGTTTTTGAGTCACACCTGGAGGTGCTCAGAAGCTACTTCTAGCTCTGTGCTGGAGATGGGGAGTAATAGAAGGGGGCTCAATCCTGGTGCTTGAGGGGTTTTGTGGTGCCAGAGATCTAGCTACATGAAAGGCAAGCACCTTACCCTGTGTATTATCTCTCTAGGCCATGAGTCTGTAACATTAAGGCGCTTAAAAGTACTTGTGAGTTCAAATCCCGGTGCCAGCAAATTAGAGGTCTTGAGTTTAACCCCAGCGCTGCCCACGCTTGCTTAGGAAATCTTGACAGCACTATTCTTAGGGATCCTCACAGAGAAAGGATCCAGAAGTTGTTCAGTGGTTTTGAAAACACCCAGGGCAAGCATGTGGTATCCCTCGTGCCACACAAGGCCCTTTTAGATGATTCTGACCGCCTTTAGTCAGGATCCCCAGGCTGAAGAATTTATAAATTACTGCTAAAAATTTGAGGAAAAAAAGGTTAGTAAATGTAAGGCAATACTGTGTTTTCCTTATAGAGTTATGGCCTCACTACTTACTAAATTATGAGTGCCAAGTGCCTACTATATTCTTGGTGTATTTTTAATTTTTATTTGTTTATTGGGCGTTTGGAGTCACAGGGTTTTCCTCCTGGCTCTGCACTCAAGACTTACTCCTCGCAGTGCTCAAGGGACCATATGGAATGCCAGGGATCGAACCCGGGTCAGCCACGTGCAAGGCAAATACCCTACGCACTGTGGTATCACTCCAGCCCTGCTTGGTGTATTTTTAACTAACTTTACTGATAC